ACATTTTATAACCCATGCTGACTTTTGAGTTTTAGTGAATAATTACTCAACTCTTCCATTATCCAGAGGATATATTTTGGAATAAAAGCTTAATCTTTGATCCTGAAGTTTATATATATATATATATATATATATATATATATATATATAAAAAGACAAAAAGGAAAACTTATCTTAGCAGACACATTTCATCCTCTGAGGGACTTCATCAAGGCAAATTTTGCCTTGATAAAGTCGGCTAAGATAAATTTGCCTTTCATCTTTTTTCATATTGTCCTTTTACAGATATACTTTATCTGAAATATATATATATATATATATATAGTAAATTATAGTTAATAAACCTCATTAATCTGGCATTAGTACAGACCCCCACTCAATCTGTTTCAATGGTCTAGACACTGAGCAATGAGATATATAAATATTTTCATATAAATGCTGCAAAAAAATCAATAGCCTGTAGTAACAAAATATCTCTAAATAAAAGGTCTCACTGTAAAACTGAAGATATCTCTTCAACTGCATTTGTCATTTTCACAGTGATAAAACATTAATAATGAAAGAACAAAAAATGAATAGGAATTAAGAAAACAGAAGATAACAATTGACACTGCATTTAAATTTTTGAAGTTCAAAGTTGACTGGTAAGCTGGAAGAGAGTTCCACAAGTGAGGAGTATGAGAGAAGAAACTATTAGCATAGGACTTACAGTTACATCTAGATATTTCAACTGCAAAATAATGAGACCTTGTCACCATTCCTTGTGCTTAAATTCATGAAGTCTAGATACTAAAGAGGAAAGATCTTCAGAACAATTACCATGAAAATATTTATAGAAAAGGCACAGGGAAATTATGTTACAGTGGTAGGAAAGTAACTGAAGCTGAGATATCAGGTCAGGATCAATAGCATTGCAAATTCTTCTTTGTATTTTACTAAGAATCTCTGTATATGTAGTTGATGCACCAGATCAGATGCGTCAGCAATATTTTATATATGTGTGTGTGAGAATCTATATTTATTCATTAAATGGCAAAAACCCATTTTGTCCTAAAAAAAAAAAAAAGAAAAAAAAAAAGCTATTGTTTGTGTATATTCAGCATTTCTCAATGTAGATTTATAACTCATTTGTTATAACCCCTCCCCACATATATAGATAAAAAACATTATTAGTCTTTCAAGGGACGAAACATGTAATGGATTTTTTCCAGTTCATTTAATTACTCACTATTAATCTGATATATAGATTTGATATATATCTTTCCTATCAATATATATATGTGTGTGTGTGTGAAGAAAGTCAGATATACTGAACCCATTCCTAAATGAGTATGTATATGCCTGTGCAGAACTAAAGAAAAACCACATGTGTGTGTGTGTGTGTGTATATATATATATATATATATATATATATATATATATATATATATATATATATATATATATATATATGTATGTTTGATGATGGTGTTTAGTATATGACATCATCAACCTGCCTGTAATCTGTTATTTTTTTATTTTTTTTTTTATTTTTCTTTATTTCCAATCATGACATGCACCCATCAAAAGAGTAACAAAACACAGCCTGGGGTCCAGCTTCTCCCTTTGTGAACGCTTCTCATTTGCGTTTGACACTACCACCTTTGCAAATAGAATTATGCAATAATTTCAAAAACTGTGTTAAGCACACTGCTCCTTGATTAAAGCAGACTGCCAACTAAGAATGGAATGAAATACTGCTTTTACAACCATAGGGAGATGCAATTTCAAAGAGAGAGGGAGAGAGAGAAGAAAGTAGGGTTGGGCGATGGAAACCTATGACATTCTTATGGAAAATCTACTGCTCTTTGCTTTCACATATTGGCAAACGATTATAATTCACTCCATTTTCTTTCTTCCTCTCTTGCTTATCGACTACACCCTACCACCATTCCTTACTGCGTTCTAAACTGCCGTTTAAAACTCCCTTGTTGAAAACTTTGGCAAACTCAATTTGTGAAAAATCATACCAGCTCTTCATTTATTTTTACTTAAAAAAATGGAAAAAGAAAAAAAAATTCTGAATACTATAAACAAAAGTGAAAGAGGAGTAAGATAGATAAAAACAATGAAAACAAACCCAATATATGTTGTTGATGAATGCTTTGTTTTGAAATAGTTGTTTTTTTTATGGTGAATAATGATCTTTTACAGTTTGTTTGTTGGGTTTTGTGGTTTTTCAACGAGGGGAAAAAGGATCTATGTCTTGCTACCAGCAGCATTATGCAGATGCAGAAAACCCTTACTTATTTCCTTTGGAAAATAACCCTATATATATATATATATATATATATATATATATATATATATATATATATATATATATATATATATATATATATATAGCCAGGAAAAACAAACATGTAGAGAAAGAGTGAAAAAAAAAAACAAACATAAAAAAGTGCTGAAAACTTTTCAAACAAATCTCTTTCTAGGTTGAAGTTTACCCAAGAAAACAAAGGTACTTGTAACTGTTGTGTTCTAGATAAAATGAAGATTCTTTTTTTTCTTTTTAAACTGGCAGGAGAACAGAATGGAGTTAAAATGTCCTTTGTGTACAGAAGCAACCTACTGGCTATGCATAGAAATACAATTTGATAGTAAGTGCAAGATCAATAATAAATTGGTGTACAGCCTCTTGTGAAATCAATGACTCTAGATTGATTTGTAATGAATCATATTAATTTATGGGGAGTGGATGTAATGCAGATGATGGCCTTGATTAAAAAGGCTTGCTTTTTGATTGAAATAGTGCTAGGTTGTAACAATGGTGTCACATTTGAAAGAATCTACAGTGAGGAATTAGTTTGAAAGAAATTAAAGATTTGAATTCATTCAGACAAAATGGATGATAAAAATCAGAGGATTAATGGCAGGAAGAGGATAAAAAGTAATGTACAATTGCTACAACTCACCCTTTCCTTAGCCAATTGAGGGTTCTTTGATAGAAGTTTGCTAATAGCCTGATAATCCCCAGTTGATGCAGTTACCAACCATTCTTTTTGCTCTGGTGTTAACTGTAAATGAAAGAATATTTTAAATTTCCAAGACAAACAAACTAATATATTGCCCTAAAAGTAATACAGTTTGTAATGATATTACAACATCATTAATGAAATTAAGTATTGCATAATAAATTATAAATAATTAGAGCCCTTTACCAGATTAACTATTTAATTTTTTAAACAATGGTATTTCACTATGCATAAATCACCCTAAAAGTTGTGCAAACAATTGGAGTGGATATTATAAATCTAAGGCTAAATCTGAAAATTAACAAAATAAACTAAAAATCAATATTCCATTAATAATAATATTTTATCTAATACATCAATTTTGCATCATTAACAGAATAATTTGTCATCATGAAAATAATTTTTTTTTTAAAGAGGAAAGAAATCATAATAAACACAGTTAAAAAATAATTTAAATTCCACTAGGATTGGATGAAAAAAAAATCCATGAAATTTATAATAAATGGTAATTTTCTATTTTTTCCAATACAGGCCAGCATAGCCAGGCAACAATGTTATAACAATGCAGCAATTAAAGTGTTAATAAAATGATGCCAAGATTATAATGGTTTTTGTCTATATGAAATGCAGATGAAGCTCTATCCAAAATATCTGAGAATTTGCACAGCATAAAGTAGTACAGACTTTTGCTGCTACTTTTTGTGAGTAGTAACTTTTCTGAGCCACTGTACAAACAACAGGCAAGGGAACTACTTTGAAGAAAATGGTGGAGACTAGGAGTTGGAATGATTACTTTTCAGGATCAAATTCCTTTAACTTTTGAATAGCAGCATGGTACTTGATAATATCTACCTCAAAATTATTAAAATCCTCATCAAAATTATATATTTTACAGTAGTTTTCAAAGTTCACACAGACATTTGTTTTATTAAATGTTTTCCATGCATTGTGAAGTTGCAAATTTTGGGATGCATATATTTATACTGCAAGTGTAAATTACAAACCTTAAAATGTAAATAATAAATCATAACCAAATTCTAAGTTAAAAATTTAATTTTACATCTTATAAACCAGTGCTTTGTGTAAATATTCATTCATTTCAAAAGATTGATTGTTTTTGTTTTACAGCTTATACAACCTGTTACAGGTTATTTAAAGTAAAAAATATTTTTGGCTTTTAAGAATTTGGGTGGGGAAGAGATAATAATAATTTAGTGATACAAGTCATACTAATTAACCCATAGCTGGGGGGTGAAGAGGTGGATTCCTACTTTTTCCAAAGTTATTTGTGTGTAAATGAATATAACAAACACAACTGTAATTGGAACTTGGCTCACTGATTTCAGAGCCATTATCCATTACACCACCTGCACATCCAATTTTACCAAACCTACTATTCCCAAGTGGTCACTCATCTAGGTACTGACCAGGCTTGATATTGCTTAACTTTGGTGATCGTATGGGAACCGGTGTTTCAACATGATATGGCCATAAGACCCATTTCAAAAGTGAATTTTTAAGTAAGAATTATTAATTTTTGCCAGTGATTTATATAAAAATTTATGTAAAATAGTTCCCATTTTGAATTACCCATCATTAAAAATGTAAAAACAATGCAATTTTGTTCATATTTAAGCATTGATCTTTACAATAGTTAAAAAGAATGTTTCTGTTTAAGAGATTTCTTCTTCAAGAAATAATTTTTAATGTATAACCATTGTTTTGTTTTTTTGGAATCTTTTGTTACTGTAAAAAAAAGAAAAAATGCTTCTTGAAAATATTTGAATTCTAAAGGGCTAGAAATGCAGTAAATATAAAAAGTTTTATTATATAGCATATATCCATTTTTTTATATGAATATATTCATAAAATTGGTTTATATGTAATTATACACAGTAATGTTTCAATGAAAATAAATGTTTCCCTGATACTCACTGATTCAAAATTTGCTGTAGAATCATCATCGTGTTCACTGGTGTCTTTGCCCTGAAAATACAAAGTGCATCATTTTCATGGCATCATTAATAATGAAAAGTGACAAATAAACAATGGAAATTACTTAAAGACACTAAGTTGGACCCCCCCCAAAAAAAAACAAATAAGAATAAAATCTGCTTAAAAAAAAAAACAAGAACCAAAACAAAAATATTAATTTTTTTAAGCTTTCCTTTCATTAAAAAAAAAAAAAATGCCATAAAGTTGTCAATTTAAATGAATGTCTAACAAAACTAATTACAGACAATTAACTTAATTTGTGTGAAGAGTATTTACTAATTAAATATAGACACTGTCATCAAGTTCATCTAGATTGTGATGGCATCAATCAGTTCATGACCCACCACAGAAATAGGAATAAAGAGAAACTGATAAAAATGAAAATGGATAAAATAAAAAATTGTTTTAGCTATATACAATTATACTGAAAAGGATATTTTATTTTAGATGATGAAGAGAAACTCAAGAGTTAGAATAAGAAATTTTAGATAGCTTGCTGGTATATGCACAAGCAAGAATTTTCAGGCACGCAATGTAAAATATTTTATAAAGAAATATTTATTTTCAACTTATTCTGTTGGTATTCTTTTTAAGAGCACGTGATTCATCTTTACCTTAAACTTTCATTTGTTTTATTTTTTTTTTCAAATATCACTTGAGATTATTTTTCATTTTTAATCTATGCTGCTTACTTAATGATCAAAGAATGATGATTTGGGGGTTGCAATAAAAAGCAACAAAACTTAGGATGAAAGAAATAGGAGTCAAAAATTAATAATTGTTTACTTGAAATATTTAATTATTATTAAAAGGTTTCTTAAAATTATTTTTTTAAGAGTGAATTATCATGAAGGTCTTTAAATTTATTTTATACAGTTATTGACAAAGAATCTTTGACTAATCCAAAGATTATGATGTCAAGATTTGGTCATCCCAACTGATTTGGTTTAGTTTATTTTGTTTTATGGCATATCAACCTCAATGAGTTATTTAACGCTGACAAGATTTTTAGGATACATCCGTATGAATAGAATATGTATTCTTTGTAAGAAATTAGTTTGTAGATCAGGTTTCATGAACATATTTTTGTAAAGAGGGTTTATGTTGAGAGTCAAATGTATTGCTGGTAATATTTTATTTTTTAAATGTTTTGCTGGTATTTTTACACTTTTATAGAGTTTTGACCCCAGTTTGGGGGTTAACTATTTTCCCATAGATGGGACCCCTAACAGGTGTTATAACTCTGGGTTAGGGTGAAGCTGGGAACAACAATTAAGAGGGGGATGTCATGCTCCTCAAAACTTCCCGATCTTCCCAACTGATTCTTTAAGTAAACTAAGATATTTTCTAATTATATATATATTTTTTAAATATACAGTATCACTGCTTATTAGACTTATCTTTTGTAATGGTGATGCCAGGTGACATTGTCTTTGTTATAACAATGATAACCTTTTCAAAAATGTTTACAAAGCTGGAAGATGTGAAAACCAGCTCTATGAAATAATAATAATAGGAAAAAATATTTAAAGACTCACATATGAAAACCTAATAATATTAAGGATATAACAAAATAGGTCATCATTTTGTCAGCATAGGTAAACTAGTAAGTACATTCAATTGAAAATGTTTCTATGAACACTAAATATAATATATATTTTTATTAATTTTCAGCCATTGAAAAAAAGGTATTTGTATAAAAGACAAAATTAAACATAAATGAAAAGTGATAAAAAAAATATTTTATACTATACCTGCACTTGAAAAATGCATATTTCATCCTAATAACATTACCTGTATTAGCATATATATATATATATATATTTAAATAGATGTGACAAAAAAATCTGGGTAAAATTGTCTTGTGGTCCAATTTTGTTGTGAAAGAAACAATCAGACAAGAAAGAGACAGAAAGTTCATGCTAAGCAGATATGTCAGCAAATCAATCTGTTGTTAGTTGGATACAAGAAAAATAGGCCTTATTCTGAAATTATTCAAAGTCACCAAGAGTGCGAGAATAGACAGAATTAAATGCAAAAATGCTGACCAAAGTCTCTGAAAAAGTTTATTTTTTTAGCTCTATATTACATGGAAGCAAACCTTGCAATAATTTATTTTATACAGAAGAAGACCAGTCAATAATTTATTTTATATGGAAGCAAACATTGCAATAATTTATTTTAAAAGCTGCACTCTGTGTGGACTTTTAAGCTAGCTCCTGCAGATATCTAATTGGGTCCCTAGTCTAAAGCTAAAGGGACCTCTGGTCCAGCTTAGAAAACAGCAATTATAATTTTGAAGAAATAACTTTGAATTCCTCAATTTACTCCATGGAACTTCAAAACCTCACATTAACTCTGATTTGGGTAAAAAGTCCAATTCTGGTCAAAAGATGGATTTGGGCCAAAATTCCAATTCTGGTCAAAAGATGGATTTGGGCCAAAATTCCAATTCAGATTGAAAATAGAATTCTTTAAATCCCAAACTCAATGAAACTGCAATTAAGCGAAGTTCCTCAAATTACAAACTCTGTAGAACTTCAAAACCTCACATCATGAAACCTCTAACAATAACTCTGATTGCTTGGCATTTTGAAAAAATAAAACTGATTCCCACAATTCAAAAAGTTTTATAGATATTTTAAACTGAATTTAAAACAAAATTTTTTAAATTCATGAAGTTTTTGTCTTTAAACTCAATATAAATTAAAAACTTAGAATGAGTAATTTTTTTCAGTTATTTTAAAAATTTGAATTTTTAACTGTTCCCCTCTCATCCAAGCACAAATCCCAATGCTGGATGTTCAAGCACCAAATGAAGGGAAGAGTTTCAATCTGGGGATCATCTTGATTCCAAATAGGTATAATATGTCTATGTAGTGTGGCCCAAGTTAGAGGGGTTTCAGACACACGAATAGACAGACAGAATTTGCTGTTTATTTATTTAGATAGATAGATGGAAGCAAACCTTTACAAATGTTAATGGTCTGTGAGTATATAATTGTAAAAGATTTCAGTTTGAATTCATTTTCCATTTTTAAGTAGAAGAATACCTTTTTCAACAAATTAGAGAGTGAGAACTAAGGCCTGCATTGCAACTAGAAGCTAACATTTTTACCGATACTTATTGAGATTAATTAATACACACAAGAATGTACAGTTTTTTTTTCGTTTATTTTTCTACTGAGACATTTCAAGAAAATCAAAGTTTAGAATATACAGAATAGTTTAATAGGGCGATCTATAAAAAAATATAGAAAAGATCCTGTTTAAAAGTCAAATCATTTTCAATAAAAAAATCTCTTTAAGAATCGAAGGATTTTCTACCAAAGGAGAAAAGATAAACAAGAAACATTTTCAGGTGCTGGAATGGAAGAGAACAGTTTCTGAAATCTCTAAATGTTGGATAAATAAGGTTAATTAATCTAAATTCAGGTAAGATAAAGATTTCAAAATGCATAAATGGTAATAGTAACTAATTCCTGTAAATCTCTTCAAATAAAAAGATGCAAAAATACAGCTTCTTTTAAATTTCTGAAACTATTACTATTTTAACCAACTCCCAATGTCTCTGTAATGTACAAATATACACTGATCAGTGGTAATGGAAATAAATATATCCAGCAGTCAGCCTTTATCCAGGGGATAATGTTTGAAGTAATAAAAACATTACAAAGTATATATATTAAATTGTTATCATTCATGAAACAATAACTTTTAATGTTTATAGTTTGTAAACTTTATATCTTCAGTGAGTTGGGGAAATTTGCTGAAAGTTAATGCATGTTAATACACTAACTTATTTTAAGAAATTTTTGTGTTTATACATTCTTTTTAAGGATACAAATATTTAAGTTAATGCTCTGTCTTATAATAAATAGTATTAATAACATTTACTGGCTTGAATGTCTGAGTAATTTTCATAGAAAATATTCGTCCTCCGACAGGAATCGAAACTGTATCCTATATGTAACTGTCATATAGCTTGATGTTCCTTAACGATCCTCCGTGGCTTGATTGATTAAGGCACATCAGGCTATATGATGATTCCATATAGGATACAGGTTTGATTCCTGTTGGAGGACGAATATTTTCTATGAAAATTTCTCAGACATTCAGGTCGGTAAATGTTATTAGTACTGTTTATTATAAAACAGAGCATTTACTTAAATATTTGTATCTATAAAAAGAATGTATAAACATAAAAATGTCTTAAAATAATTGTCGGACTTTGTCTGTTTCACACGAACTTATGTTGATTAAAAGAGCCATTACAAGAAAAATGGCAAGGGAAGAGGCTTTCTTTTTGCAGGACTGGCAAGACAATGGATGTTTTAAAGAATTTGTAATATGGATACAAAGATCATCCACATACCTCACCAGATCTCGTTTGTATCTATTTTTTGTTTCCAAATTTTAAAAGGAGTTTGAAAAAAAGAAAATCTTTTGAATAGTTCTCAAGCAATGACAGCACTTCAATAACCAAACAGCAATATTTTTTTTTTTTTTTTTTTTTTTGAAAGAGTTAATGTAATTTTAATAACAATATGCCAGGGTGTTGAACTGTTGGGTGAATATATAGAAGAGCATCTATAGTTCATGGTTGGGCTGAGAACTTTTCAGCAACTTTCATACTTAAGTTAAAATTTGCATTATTAGAATTTTATAAGTTGTGAAATATAAAAATATATATATTTACATTATTCATAATGTTAATTTTTTTTCTTCAGGAAATGAATACGCAAGTCACACGGGAAATTATGTGAGAAAAACTTATTCCCTGTCTAAATATCCAAGGTCCAAATTCAACCCAGATCATTAGAGAAGTTTGTTTTTATCATATAAACCATGATACCCACTCTATATAAAGTAAAATAGTAAAAGAGGAAGAACCCATCGCTGAAAGAAAAATTCTCAAAGTACTTTATGGATACAGAGTGAAAGGAAAAAGAATTTAATTTGATGGAACCAGATGTTGTTAGTTGGTAATG